GGGTGTGTGGAATCCAGCGCTGGCTCTCTGCAACGCTTCTCAAACCATTAGCTCTTCACAGAGCCATACAGGATAATGCGTATGGGGCTGACAAAACATGAGCTGTTTACTCGTCCAAGAAGGCGAAATATCATCATCCCTATTTCACAGATGGAGCGCATTTCTCCAACAGAGATCTGGAAAGAATGAAGATCCCCCGAGCCTCAGGGCTACTGTTTTATCCACAAAACCACACAAAAGGTTTAAAGTCCAAACAGACTAAAACCAGCTTCATCCTCCTGAGCCACTGGCTCAGATTCCTCTGTGAGCTTCAGTACAGGCTTCTGGTGGCACAGTGTTGCCCGCTGTAACAGCAACACCTAGATGGGACCATCTCAGCTACCAGCAGACCCAGGGGTAGAAGGGACATGGCACGTTGCTGCTACTTTTCCCACTACCACATAAATAGCAGGTATTCTCCAGGAGGGCCACTTCACAAGGAGATAACCTGAGTAACCAGGATAACAGGGTGACAAACAACCGATATTCAAGCTCTCCAAATGGGAAAACGGAAAAAAAAAAAAAATCACAACTCTACGCAGGAACTGCTGTTTTAGAGTCCAGGAGCTGTGCAAAGCCCGACGCTTGCACGGCCCAGCACTGAGGCAGGAAGCCCAAGTTTAACGCCCGGCACTGCCCCGGCTGTGCAAAGCGATCACAGCGAGACGCTCTCATGCACGTCACCTGCCTCCTTCCCCGCAGAATTGGGGCAGCAATATCAGCAGTGCTGGAGGGGGCATGGCTGACATTAATCCTCCAGGCAGGGTCACGGCGACCACAAGCACCCTGGGTGAGGGCAGACAGTTCAGTATTTTTTTCATTCCCGTAGTGGCACCGGCAATATTGAAAAGGACCCCTCAGAGCACCGACTGTACGAGCCGTCTGCAACCAAGATTTCAGTTTGGCAATCTTTTTATTTTCAAAACACACGCAACAGCAAAAATTCCTTAAGGCAGTAAAATGACAGGAGATGGCTTCATCCATACCTGACACGTGGCCATTTTGTTGCAAAGCAGAGAACACCTTCTAGCTGAAAAAAGCTTTTTTTTTTTTAAAAAAAAAATAAAATAAAATAAGGTATTTCTTACCTTTAAATCCCAGATCCACTCATTCTAAAACTATGCTTTCTCTCCAGGCCAGACCGACTGGGTGTGGAGATGTTGGTGCAGCTCGGTGACCTGCATTTTGCAGACACTCAGTGATGATTATAAAGCTCTTGTCTAGCCCTAAAACCCATGAACGTTAGACATTTTGGCCCAAGAAATGAAGACGACTGCTCTTCAAAACGGAACCACAGGCGTGTCCTTGGGACCTTTAATCAAAACGGAGTTAGTCAGGACAGCACCCGGTACTCACAGGCCATCCTGAAGCCTGGCTCTAAAGTGACTTAAGGAGAAAACCACAACCCTCCTGCTGCAGCACCACTTTCTGCCTCTGGGAGCAAAATCTGTGGGTTTTGTGAGCCATCTGCTCTTTTCAGGTTCCTCTCCCAGCTCAAGGTTGACGAAATTCTTTGGTTTTGCACAAACTCTTTGCACTCACATGCAACTTGGTTTCAGTGTGCTTTTTGCACAATAAACCAGCATTTCACAAGCTGTCCTTGCTCTTGCAGTGATCAGGAAGAATACTGCTGCTGCAAGAAACACCACAAAATTATCAAATACCTTTGCAATTAACTGAACTGTACCAGAGTTTCGATCGTGATTTGTTTGAAACAGATTTTGAGCAGTCACCTCTCTTCTTTGTACAGTGCACACTTTATTGCAGAAGACTGGAAGCATTTTTAAAACAAGTTCAGGAGCTGCACAGTTTCCAGGCATTTCTACTAAGTGTTGCCCACAGTAACTCGAGTAAAATGGAGTCAGTCAGACAACGGTAAGAGGGAACTCAACCCTGTCATCTGCAATCACTTGAGAGAGTCAGAGAATCTTGCAACCGATTATTTAAGAGCCATGTACAACAGGTGGCTCTGCTCCTGCGAGCACCTCTGCCAGCAGAACCGAGGTTAACCGTGTCACTCCTGATTTACACCAGTGTAACTGAGACCCGGAGTTGGGCTTGTATCACGAAAACAGCCAGTGAAGGTTTTATGTCGGGGTGGTATGCACGTGGTGGCAGATTTGTGACGTTTCCTGAAGGGCTTTATCTGGGATCACATTAGAGACAGGGTCTCCCGTTTCAGGTGTTACTGTATCTTTGGATCGATTCACAACCGTGCTGCCCAGTCCCTCTCCACGTGGGAAAGAAATTTTGGCGTGAAAACACAGCAAGTCGTAACAGGCACTAACTACCACAATAAACTATAACACAGTCTTTGTCTGCCTTGGATGCTGCTGTGTCTGGAAGCATCCCAGCAGGTCACAGCCAGCCCCGGGTAGGCTGAGGGTGAGCCACAGCCCCGTGGTGCAATCACATGCACATTAGACTGTGGCTAGAAATGTTCTTCAGCATATCAGTTAACAAAGAAAATGCATTTTCCTAGTGAGACCATCCACAATAATTGCTTTTGAGAGAGACTGGCTGCATCAGCAATTTGAACGTTATAATATTAGATAAAAATCCCCAATTTTTTTTTTCTGTAAAATGTGTCTCCTTACCAATTACATATCCCAAAAGTGAAGCCTTCTCTCTCAGCCACCACAGTGTGATACTAAATACAGTTCAAACTCTTGATGCAAGTCCAGAGCTCGTCTGAGGACATTCAGACTGAATGGACTGGCACAAGATACCTTAGCATAAACCTACCAGACTCTGAGATCTGGTGCTCATCTCTTACACCTATTCAAAGCTTCACTGACACACACAGTAATGGCATTTTTTACCAGTCGAAGATCTGACTCAAACTCTAATGACACAAACCCACACGGGAGTCAGAAATTCCTCGTGATGGATGCACAGCAGAATGGCTCAGAGTGTGTTCAAGGTATACGGTACAGAATAGCTGTGCAACTGGAGGCTGTTTAAATGCTGAGGTGTAGTGTGCTGAAAGACAGCTGTCTTACTCCTTTAGCATCGTGCCAGCTGTATGAAAACTAAAAATCTACTGGGGTGAATGGGAACCTTGGGAAAAGCAGCTGACTGAAAAAAGCCTCAGAAACTGAAGGCTTCTGTGTAGTATCAGAGCAGGGACAGCACAGACTTGAGACAAGAAGAGTTCACCCAACCCACCATGTGCCTCAAAGCTTAATTTGGAAAGGATGCTTGGGGAGCAGGGGTGATAAATCATTCATTTGTCGCTTCCTGACGGCTTCATCAAGGCTGCCAGTGCTGGCGGTGAGTAAGTGTGCGCATGTGACTTGCCAACTGAAAACCTATCCACGAGAGGAGAGACCGTGACTCATGGAGACTTTGGAAGGTCATCCCAAAGTGATGTGCTTCTGACATAGGCTAAATTTTAATCTGTGATGAGTGAGCCTGAGGCCATGAATGCTTTAAGCTCTTGTGTCTATTCTCTTTCAGAAGAAAATAGAAAATTATCGCAAGAATTGGTCGCTAGGCACAACAAATGATCCTTCTCCAAACAGATCCCCCCAGGTTTCCCACTTGTAATGACTAAAATATACTACCTCGTGCGTCACGAGGACGACAAGTAACTGACATTTAAGGCAATCTAATTTCCATAGCCCTCCCGTGACTTTCACTGAGCAGATCGCCTTTGTCTTCCTTCTCTAGGAACGACTTCTTGCACGTGAACATGACAAGCAGCAGCATCGGCAAATGCCACAGACTGCAGAAGAAGAGCTTCCTGGAGCTGCTGCGGTCTGCATCCCTGTAGAACCGAAAGCCGAGGTAGGAGATGTAGAGGTTGATAGGGAGCGAAACGATGGGGAAAGTCCACGTGGTGATGTCGAGAACAGGAGCCACCGTTGAGAGTCCAATTAAGGCCAAGCAGTGACGCAGAGCCACCCGCCTGCACAGCCCTGGGTGGGTGACGGACATCATACAGTATCCTCCTCGGGAGTAATCTTCCCGCAGACCCCAGCTCAGGGCGTTGAAATGAGGGAACTGCCAGGAATAGAGGATTCCTCCTAACAGTAACGCACCTGCAGTGGGAGAGAGAGAAGGAAACATGCGTTAGAGGGCCACTGCGAGAACCGATACGGGATTTGGGCTGTATTTGCAGAAAAGCAGCGCGGTGAACCGGTTACAGCGCTCTGTGCAGAAGACGAGGCACGCTCTGTAAGACATGGGCATGCTCTCTTTTTACATAGGGTTACGCACGGTGGTTCTTCTCTTTTTTGGAGCACTTAATTTGAAAAGCATTTCAACCAGTCACTTCCTCCTAACGAACCACTGCTAATTGGCTTCTGCACCAATTCAGTCTCTACCTGAGGGAAGATTGATGGAAATGAAGCAAAGTTGGGCAGGAGACTGTTTTCCTGGGAGCCTTTAGCTTCCACTCCCAGGTTCCCGAGTTGGTGCATCCAGAGAAGAAAAAGGTGGTGGGCAGAGTGTCACATTGACCAGAGACAGGGAGCCCTGATCAATGACAGCAGAAAAGGAGGATAAACCAGGAAAATACCAGCACCCTGGTAGCCTGGAGCATGGCTGAGCTTTCTGTTTGCCCATTGCATGAAGAGAGGGAATTGCTCACGGCACGGGAGCTCCTCGATCATGGACCTCAGGCAAACGGAAGAACTGGCAGAAGCTGCTAATGAGGTGACAGCAGACGGGGAACTTTTTACTCCTTCAAACCAATTGTAGGAACTTCTAAGCAGTTTGATCAAGTAACTATTCACACCAATTAGCTACTTTCACATTTAAAAAGGAGCTATGGAAGCATCACATTTTTCACAGCTATCCTCAGGACATGGTACAGGGCTTATCGAGGCAGAAGCAGCTTATATGCTGATTTCAGCAAGCTTCAAGGAGGCCTTCAGACTAAACTCCCTTCACTAATTTTGTCTGAAGACACAAAAAATCCCCCAAGGCTGTTGCACATTATGAGCATTCCTGGATTTTCCTTTTGTTTCCCCAGCTCCCAAACACTCTGCTCTGGCATTAACACTTTCTTTGCATCTCCCTGCCTCCATAAGCTCATTCTCTATGGAAACTACTTCTCAGTTGAGCCACGAGTCTATCATTTTCTTAATGACTTGATAGAAATAGAAACAGGAACACTTATCTGCACACATTTTAATGTATTTCAGTTCTTCCCCAAATGCTCACTTCTCCCCTAACAACTGCTCCGGCTCTAACAAAGACCAAGTCACTGTCTCCTTTGAATTGCTTCGTGGTTCATGTCTTCTCTCCACCTGCTCTGGCTGTATGTTCCCTGGGGCTGTGCATGTCTAGTTCTTGTCTGAAACAGCGCACCTTACACTGGTGTTGCCATGCAAATAATAATAATAACAATAATAACCTAAGTTTGCAAAAGAGCCTTTCTTGCCCTACTTTATCAACCAGTGAAGGAACGGTCCATTAGACTTAATGCACGTTTCCAGTTGCTTATAAGATCCAGTAGTGGTATGAAAGACCCATCACATCGCTCCTTAAAATGAGTAACAACTACTCCATTAGGCGAGTACAGGCCTTTGAAAGGTGATTACATGAAGCACGGAGACAGATACTCATATATTGGGCATGCAGCTTTCAGAACAACATTGCCTGCTATGAATTACAGGTGATTTCCTGGACTATGGCCCAAAACATTTGCAAATCCTGCCATTCAATCCTACTAAAGTCAACTTTCAGGGTGTGAATGCTTAGCACCTTCTCTAAATTGGAACCTTTTAAGACAGTTGAAAATGGTGCACCCCAAACTTACCATTAATTTCAGAAAACTGTGGCAACAAGGCAACAAAAGTAATTTTGGCCCTAACGAAACAGGATTTGATCCAGTTCTGCTGAAACCTAAGGGAGTAGCTCTGCTGAAATAAACTGAAATAAAACTTAACCAAGGAGCAGTACTCTCTACACCAGGAGAAACAACGGGGAAAATGTTCTTTTAAGATGTTATTCCTTAGCTTCCTTCTATTCTTGTAAAACATATTACTGGAGGCAAGATCCTGGATGTGATAAACCTAAGACAGGAATATTTTTCAAGTTTCACATCTGAAGTGCTTTAGAGACATTAGCTTGTCATTTTTCAGAACTTGGGGAAAGGTAAGCTACAGTTATCCATCGGCTGAGGAAACTTAAGCAGATGGAGCTGGGGCCAGGATTCAGAGGCAGAGGCTGTCCCTGCTTCCCACGGCTACGGACCAGCCGGCTTTTCATCTGGCATGTGCTGCGTCCCTGTGTTTCGGCTGTAATGCGGTGCTTTGCTCATTCAATTGTTCAAACGTTGTGTGCAGCCAAGCTCAAAACACACCCTAAACCTCAAACACACAAAAACCTTTAACAGTTCTCTAACTATAACACCATTTAAAAAAAAAAAAAAAGTCATCTGGAGAAACTTTTAAACACAAACAGACCAAACAAACCAACTAAACTACTTGAGGCTGGATTCCTATTTACAAAGCTCTGGTTTTTACATGCAAGCCTTTGGAATTTAATTACTTTGATTACATTACAACCATTGAGATAATTGATATTTTACAGAGAAGCTGAACAGTAAAACAATTTAATAGCCCATTATGAGGATTTTAACTGACCCGATCTTTTTGTTAGCTTCCCAAGTGCCTTGGACATCCTGTAATTTCCTCTGCCCAGGCCGAGATTGTCAGGTTGTCAGAGACTTTTAAGTGTCACGTAAGACTGATGACTTGTAAAGCACAGCACATGGTACGGTACAATTCAGCATCAAATGAGCCCACAGTAGGAATCCTGTCAAGCCCAGAGCAGGCACTGCAATACTCATTAATTACTAGATGAATGTTAACTATGTCATAATTAGGTCAGCAGTGTTTTTAAGCAATATTACAGCGAGACTAACTCTGGAGACTAACCTGGTTCAAACCAGCGCAGAGTCTACTCTGCTGCTTCTCGGCAGTTCCCAGCAGTTTGGGAACTCAGTTTAATCAATGCAAATCTCCATTTTCTCTACGGAGTTTATAATTAACCGAAGACCAGATGAGGTCGTTCACGACTATAACACGTGGAGCTGGCGCAGAGTTTGCAAAGCAAAGCCGGCTGTCGGAGCAGAGCCATCGCGCCAGCTTTGGCAGGGGGAGACAGCCCGCACCCAGGGCCACCACAGCCCCCGGGCTCCTCCGTGGCACGTGGAATACCCGAGTGCTGGCAGACCGATAGAAATTCCTCTTCAATCTCTCAGCCTTTCCACAAGTGTTTATGAATTGCAAGACCACAAGTACCTGGCTTGTGGCTATCCCAAACTCTTTGGCCTTTTTGGCCAAATTTTGAATAGCTGCAAGTTTAGCCCACTTATGGGCACTTCCAAACGCCTCACTCCTCCAAGTGTGAGTTTGATTTTGGAAAAAAAACGAAGTCTGTTTAGGCAAACATGACCCAAGTCTCCAGTATTCTTTCACTCTTGTGCAAAACAGGTGTAAAATGTTTTCTGGTTGAGTTCCTACTGTGTAATTATTTGTACTAGCTTAAATCATCTCAAAAGTTACATGATTGCAGAGAACCAGGTAGGTCCTATAGCATCCACAGAGTTCAGGAACAGGTTTTACCGTTCAACATGAATTTTAAGGTTAAGCTATTATTTCTTTTCTTAAATTCTTTTAGAAGTATTTAAATAGTAATATATCTTCTTTTTAATAAACAAGAATGAGCTGAGATTTTTATTTTAATATCTAAGATAAAGCCAAAATGTCAACAGGCATTGAAGAAGGCAGAAAATGGTTCTTTCTTTCTGTAAATATATTTTTATCTAGTGAAATACTGAAGCTTTATAAATTGCATTTTTCCTAAAACAAACAAGACACTAAATTCCACAGTCATTCAGAAACTGCTTGGCAAGATGTTTTAAGGTTCAATAAATTTGGGTAAGACTTGGAAATAATTGTGAGATGAGACTTCCAAAAGCAACTAGTGAATCTGGGCTTGCAGAACAGTCTAATTTTCAGAATTACAAGAGCAAGAAGCATCCCCCTCTGAAGTTATGCTCTTTACGGTGCAAAGAAGGCCATGTGGTACCTCTAAACTTTGATTAAAAATTCAGGTTTTATTCCTTTTAAAGCAATTTATGATGACCTCATTTGCGGGATGGTCCAAATCTCAGGCGAGGGAGCAAAGTCAGTGCCTCAGCCCATTGAGACCTTGGCCCCTCTGCCAAGAAGAGCATCTCAGAGCATGAAACTGGAAGATGGTTTTTATGGTCTGAGCCCTTGCAGGGTGTGAACTCGACCACTGGTTAACACATGGAGAGAAGCTCAGAGCAATCAGGTAGCTTCTCATCCTGTCCATCCTGGACTTGCACCACAATCAGTGACCCAGGGATGAAAAGCTCCAGACCCTAGTGCACGTCCCTCAAACTTCGCAGGTCCTGTACAGGGTACAGCCTGTTCAAGTCTCTACATCACCTACTCAAGAAAGAGTGGGCAGGTTCAGCTGCTGAGCTACCAGCGCCAACAGAAATCATGCCAGCAGCATCATTCTGACCAAACCGTTTCATTCCCATAAAGCAAACCTATTTCCTCATCCACTAAAGGGCAGAAGTAGTTGGATCCTGCCCGACTGTCTTGTGCTGAGGATGCCACTGTCTTAAGCAGCGATTTGAAATACGCCTCCTTCATGCTGGCAATACCTTTCATCATCAAAGAGCTTTATACATTGTCCAGTTGGCACACAGGGCAGTAGTGATGACTTCACCCACAGCTGAGTTATTTCAGCTGTCCGCTTTAAACAAGGCATGATAGTTTGGGATGATCCAGTTGAAACTCTCCAAAAAACTACTGAAGGCAAGCCCTTCCAGAGCAGAAAAGGACTTGAGCTACAAGAGGGCACAGGCTGGAGAGCAGCGTGTGTCGGTGGAGCACCGGCCTCTGGAGCAGGGCCAGTTGCAGCCCAACCAGCCAGGGCAGGCAGATGAACTGGGCCTGTCTGCACAAGTTGAGGAAAACATGTCCAAGGTTATCTACAGAGACTGCTCTATCAACATCGTGCTCCTGAGAACACACGAGTGATGAACAGC